GAAGTCCCATCGCGATATTCAGGCACGTCGCGCTCGTCCGCCTCTGACCTGCACTCGTGTCCTGCAGCATGGAAGTGGCATCTCCAACAGCATCGCCCAACGGAGCAGATGGCCCCCGCCTCAGCCTGCAGTCTTGGGGACAGCGCTTAAAGCGGAAGAGTCTGTGGGGCTCCGGGACGTTGCGCAAGCTGTCGCCATCCCCTCTGCCGATCAGGTCTAAGCAGCTCTGCCGGCTGCCGTTGCTGAAAGCCTTGGCGCTGTCGAGCGAGTCTCCGGTCATGTAGCACTTGGTGGCTTCTCCGTACACGCGCTCCTTTTTGTCATGCTCCATTCCCAGGTTGTGACCCAGCTCATGAGTGAAAATTATTGAAAAGGTTATGAAATCTGTCCGTATTTGTGATACGACGCCTGCTTGATAACCAGGACGGCAGATGCTACCTACATACGCCAGCCCAACGATCAGTCCAAAGTCCACGTAGGTAAATAAAGGTGCAACGTCGTATTCCATCCTCTGAGAAAGATCCCTATTTGCCCAGTCATTAAAATTTCGAAGAACTTCTTCTCTATCCTGGCTGCACCTGATGAAGTTGCTGTGCGTCCAGATCTCCAGCCCGACCAGGCAGATGCAGATCTTCAGAGGGTAGTAGGATGCTTCAGATAAATTGACCACGTCTGTAACCAGAAGGATCACAGAGGTCTCATTGCTCCCTTGGAAGGAAAACAGATAGTGGTCCACCACGACAAAGATCTCAATGTACACGGCGTGCTTCAGTCCCTGAGACAAGTCATGCTTTCCAAAAGCTGTTCTAGCTTCCGTCCCACCCAGCTGGTTTTGGATCACCTCATCCATCAATCTGCACATCGAGGGCTTGTTCTGGGTCTTCTCTCGCCAACAGAGAAGGTGCTGGAAGGTGAGGGACCCCGGCACAGGCTCGATGCCGTAGCTCGTGTTCCCGATCTCCAGCTGTCCCCTCGGCCTGGAGCAGGAGCTCAGCGTGGCCAGGGAGCTGGGGCTGCCCTCCACGTAGCCCAGGGAGAAGCACTCCTCGGGGCCGCGGGGCTGCTCCATCACTCGTGTGCTGCTGGGGCTGTACACGATGACTGGCAGGCTTTTCACCAGAAGGCCTCTCCTGCGTGAGGTGGTTGATGCAGGTCACCCCCTCCACTCTGAGGACGTAGGGCACGTCGCCCCCGGCAGCTTTTCCCACCACTTTCCTTGGCCGGACCATCTCATGGACGGTGTAGCCCAGTGGTGGGTGATGGCTGCCCAGCCTGGGGAGAAAAGATGCCATCAGTGCTGTCCAGACCCTCAGCCTGAGGAGCAGGGCTTTTCCCTGACGGCCATGACGTGCCTGGAGCCATCTCATCACAAACACCTCCTAAATGGCGGTCAGAGGCCTCGGGGAGGAGCCCACCGACCCTCGCAGGGACACCATGGCCTTCTCTCCCTCAGGGCACTGAGGCGGTGACCATGCTGGAGCTGTGCCCTCAGGGCTGGCGCGGGACACAACGAAGGGGAGCAGCACCCTGCTGCCTTGAGCGGTGGTCATGCCTGGAGCCATCTCATCACAAACACCTCCTAAATGGCGGTCAGAGGCCTCGGGGAGGAGCCCACCGACCCTCGCAGGGACACCATGGCCTTCTCTCCCTCAGGGCACTGAGGCGGTGACCATGCTGGAGCTGTGCCCTCAGGGCTGGCGCGGGACACAACGAAGGGGAGCAGCACCCTGCTGCCTTGAGCGGTGGTCATTCGCCTCAGTGCCCCTTGAGAAGGTTCCGGAAGCGCCACCACCGCCCCTCCCAGCAGCCATGCCGCCAACGAGCGCATGACCGAGGCCAGCGT